TTTATGTTCTCCAATAGTATTTCTAAATTCCCCATTCCCACCCTCCCCGCCCCTATTTTCTATTACTTTATTATAACGTTTATCTTAAATGTTGTCCTTGGAGACTAGAATCGATAGAAGAAACTATTTTTTGTTTTGTTTTATTTAGATAAACTAACATATATAATAACAAGTAGTCCATATACTATTATATGGATTACTTGCATTGTAATGGCAACTTCTAAAAAATATCTAATCACGTTTATCTCATAAAGCGCAGATAAAATATAATGGTTGTGATGGGACAGTATATTAAATTGAAATCAACCTTATATATTTCAGTGTGTGTTCGCTATGATCGCGAACTTAAGGCATCATTCATTGAACATTTATACTTTTTTTTTTTCTGTTCTTTTTATTTTCTTCTTTATTTCTTTCTTTCTTTCATTCTTTCTTTTTTTCTGTTTTTCTTTTTTTTTTTTTTTTTTTTTTTCCTTTTCTTTTTAGGACTATTCATTTCACTCAAACATTTCAACAGATTCATACTCTTTCATAAAACAAGATCACACTGAAATATAGACGCTTAATAATAGAAACATTTTCTCGATGATATTTACCACGTCTAAATCTCAGAAATGCAAGAAAATATACTTGCATTGTTATCCTATTATTTACTATCACGATAAACTTAAGGTCGCAAAATTGATAAAGTATACCAAAGTATTTGATCCATAAGCAGATCCCATTGATTATCTATTTGTGCTGATTTCAACACGTTCCATAAACAGCCTTTTTTGTTTTCTTTTTTTTTGTTTTTGTTTTTTTTTCCTTATATATTTCTAAGCAAATTATTGCTTAAGATTTTATATCGATTATGTTTATTGACTAAGAAGGCATTAAGTACCTTGTATTTTGCGGCAAGACTTCGTTCATGTTCACAAGCGGTTGCTGAAGTGTCGTTACTTCTTTTAAGGATTGTTCTTTAAACGACGAGAAAGTATTCGATAGAACTTGATCTTTCTGAAGATTATGAAGATGATGAAGAAAATCAGTTTCCTGTTTAATGGAATCATCTTTTATGACAACTTCTTGTTGCTTAGGCATTGTTGATAATTCAACGGCTTTATCAAAGGGTTCTTTCTGTTCTATAAAAAATAGATCCTTCTTGCTTTTACTCTTTTTAATGCCCAAATGTGTTTGAGTGTGTTTATTCAAATGGTCCTTTCGTGAAAAAGCCTTTTGACATACGGTACAAGAAAAATTTTTATCACCGGAATGAATAACGTAATGTCTCGTCAAATGTTCATTCCTTTTGAAAGCTTTCTCACACACAGGACATTTATATGGTCTTTCGTCGGAATGACCTCGCATATGCTGATCCAAATGCTCTTTTCTTTTTAACATCGCTCCGCACTCCTTGCACTGATATTTTCGTTCCTAAAAAAAAAGAAGGAGAAAAAAAAAAAAAAAAAAAAACAGATTGATAATGAAAATAAACGTAGAGAGAAAGAAAAAAGAAAGTACACTTCTTACAACAATATAAAAAAAAATCCTTCACCTGTATGTGTGCTTGTATATGCTGATCTATCTCGGATTTTTCAGGAAAAACTAAATTGCACTCTGGACAGCAATAAACTCTTGAACCGTCTAAAGCAACGCTGATCTTGATCTCTCCGGTTTTTGCCCGAAATTTCATTTTCTTTTCAACTTTCGGCGAATCCGTTTGTACCTGTTGCTCTACTTTTACTATCTGCCCATTATTATCATTATCTTGTTGATTCGATAGCAAATGTACGTTAAAATCATTAGGATTCAATGTTATCATCATATGTTCGGAATTCATAAAATTATTTCCATTTTGTGTCTGTGAATTTCTAAATACCGATACGCTAGGAATGTTTAAAATATTGTTTTGATTATGTTCAGATTTCTCTTCCTCCGTCTTATCTTTCTTAATTTGTTCAGTTTGTAATTTTATTAATTGTTGTAATGTTAATGGCAGTGTCGTAGCTTGCAACTTTTGAAGATATTCGGTCATATTAGAACCTTGTACCAATTGAGCAGCTTGTTGCTCATCAGAATTTCTCGTATCATTGTCAGTCTTATTCTCTTCCTTTTGAGTATCTATTTGAGACGTCGAAGGTAAGTACACATTAGGTATAATCCTTACTGGGAGAGTATTTGATTGGACGTTGATTATCGAAGAAGGATTGCACTGATTATAATTAGGAATGTTGATTGCTTGTATACCCTGTTTCTCGCACAGCTGCATAAGAGTATTAGAATCCGGCCAAGTAAATAAAGATCCAGGGTATTTATTCTGTGAGTTTACCTAAAAAAAAAAAAAAAAAAAAAAAAAAAAAAAGAAAAAAAACAATGATTAAGCGACAACGTATAACACGTGTGTTTACGTATATGAAAAGGGTAAAAAAAAAAAAAAAAAAGAAAAGAAAAGAAATTATTAGAAAAATTCTATATTTATTACTTACAAGAAATTGCTGTTTATTCTGATTCGAACCTGCGACCGTAGTGTAAATAGAATTTTGAACCGTTGGTAATTCTAATGCACTGCTACTGTTGCTTCCGTTATGATTAAATTCAACGTTAGAAGTAGAATTCGATCGCGATGTTAGCTCGGAAAATTGAGGCAATGTGCCTTGAATAATATTATTTCCAGAGAAATTCATCTTTTTCTTTTTTTTTTCTTTTTTTTTTTTTATTTTTTTTTTCTTTTCTCTTAAAATTTATTAATCGCGCGCGTTCGTCAACGGCAACACGCGAGAGTTTATAACCTCCAATTCGAACGAATGAACACTTAGAATACGAGTATGTCGATAAAACGTTTCTCAGTCTCACATTTTCTTTATTAAAAGCAAAATTAATTGTTTCTTATATGCCGAAGTATCGATATAAAATATAATGAGTATAATTAAATTAAAAAACTTAAGAGGCAAAGGTACATCGAAACGCACGCCGCGTCCTATACACGACTGCTCCAACATGGCTGCAGTAAAATATTATTTGAGAAAAGCGCGCCAAAATCAAATAATGATAAATTCACGACAATTCGATTGGTTTACGTTCGATCTGCGAAAAAAAATTTTACCAAAAAATCGATGTTTCTCATGCAAAACAAAATTAACTTCTGTAACTGCTATCATTGTTGCATCGTATCGGGGAAAAAAAAAAAAAAGAAAAGAAAAGAAACAAAACTTTCACAAGGCATAGGAAAATTTTCTCTCCTTAACATTGGCCAAACTGTGGCGTTTCTTTTTGTTTATAGTTGATACTAAACTCACTTCACTTCGTTTATCCAGTGATAGTAAATATTTGTATTCGTTCGTCGATAATAAAATTTTTTTTTCACTCAAGTGATTGACATAGTACAGTTAAACGTTATTATGTTTTAAAAAGAAAAATCTTTTTTAAAGAAATACTTAATAAAATCTAGAAGGAAAATTTATTCCTTCGTGTGTTTATTCTATTTTCAATTGAAATGTACATTAAAGAGAGATCATGGCAATTGCCCATGTATATATAACGCTTTCAACTTTGACCTACTGATAAGAATGTAGGTAATAGAAAAAGTTGTATTGTACATGGATAAAGATACTGAACTATTCTTAGATGACTTACGTAAGAGAAGTAGAACTTTGTTAGATCTTACCAAAAGAAATTCTAAGAAAATCAATAATGAAATTAAAAGATCATATTTACAAAATTCGTTAGTATTATTCCTAAAGGAAATAAATATCAAAAGCAATATATATATATATTTTTTTTTTCAATTAATATGCGATATTTATAAACATTTATTTACAGTACATTAGAGAAAAAGAATTCTCATTTAAGAAGTCATAAAGAAATATGGAATTTGAGAAATGATTCAAGTGCCGTTAACAATCTTTTACATTTGGATTATCAATTTGATAATAATAATCAAACGTATACGTCTCTTTCTAATATGCGACCATTAGATAGAATCGTTATACCATCGAAAAATTTATCCCAATCGCATAATTCTTACATGATAAAAAGAAAACCAGTGAAAGAATGTTATTGCAATGTTGAAGTTAAAAAGATACAATCTAATTCTTCAAAGGTCATACATAAATCTAATACATTATGTAATTATTGTAAAAATCATATTTGTCGTCAAGTAGCATTGCCTATAAATGAAAATAATATAGAAGAAGCATTGACTCCACCAATTAGTTGTGAAACAATTAGAAGAGTAGAAAAAATCAATTATTATCCTCAATCTCAATTTCTTCGCAACGTTCAAAAAAAGGTTTCTGTTTTAAAGGATGTATCCTCGGGTGATTGTCTTGATACTTGTCCGAGATCATTGCATTGTCACAAATTAAAAACCAATAAAACGTCATATCTAATGGATAGTGATAGTCAATCAAAATTTATCACTGATACAATTAACAAATCTAATACTATTGACTTTGATAAATTCGATTCTATTCAAAGAGTATCAAGTTCTATGACAGACGAGGAAGAAGAACAAAGTCAAGAAGAAATAATAGAAAAAGTAAATAAAGGCATTCAAGTGCCTTTGAGAAAACCATCTAAAACAAAGTTTCTCGTAAAGAGGACTATTTCTTCTAAAAAGTTTATACCAGATGGACGTAAAGAAAAATCTACTTCGAGATCATCTCTTGACATTAAAAAAACCATAAGATCATCCACCACGGATTGTCAATGTTATAAAAATAAAGTAGACAAATTTACCGATGATTTGAAAAGGAAAGAATTAAAGACATATCGTATTTATCCAAAGGATTATGAGGAAGATGATAGAGAATCAAAAAAATCGTCATTGAGGGATGATAAAGATTGTCAAAGGAAAACTTTAAAATCTTTGACGAATGAAGTTAAAGAATTGAGAAAATTTCGTGAAGAAAATTATTTTGATACTCATGGATCGGGTCAAACACTTTTGTCATCGGAATCTTCAGGCTCGTTACAGCAATATATGTTAAACGATCGACTTTTTGCAGAACCGATTAAAAGGATTCATAGAAAAGATTTGGTCGTAACTATGCCACCTTGTGCTACGATACAAAAAAAACGCGTTCATTACTTTCCTAGATATATAGTAAGACAAGAGAAGAGTACTTGCAATACAAATTATAAGAAAAAACGTTGCCAAAGTTGTCCATTGACAGGACATGCCATAGATCTTGGTATTTCTAAACCACGTCCAGTGTTAAACAGCTTGGCATTAAAATACCAAAAGAAACTTCCTTAACGAAGTATTTTTATAGTTTAAATAATTTTTTTTATTAGACGCACCACACGATTCTAATTATACACATGTGTGTGTGTGTGTGTGTGTGTGTGTATGTGTGTGTGTGCGTGCGTGTGTCTGTGTGTGTGTAGATATATATATGTATATATCTGTTTTTAAAAGTACAGAAAAGTAATTTTTATCCAAATCTTTTAAAAGAATCATTTTTTTAATTGAGTTTTTTTCATAAACCAAAACATAGCTGTATTTTTGATCTTATTGATCATTCAAATCATTGTTCATGGCAATAATTTTCTCTATAGGATATTAAGATTTTAATTTTTTTTATTTATTTATTCTTCTTCCTTTATTTTTTCTTTCAAAGTTTAATCACAGAGTTCAAAGACTGAATTTTCATCGACACGATGAAAGTATTCGTATTTTAATAAATTAATTAAGTAACATTATGAATGTTTACAAAAGTGTAAATAAATAACTTAAACAAATAACGATCGTTTTTATCCGTCGTAAATTATCTGTAAATCACCGTTCAGATTTTATTGTACTCTATGTCTCGTATAGAAGAGAAAAAAGTAAAGAAAAAAGAAGAAAAAGAAAAAAAAAAAAAGGCAAATAACGAAGGAAAAAAAAATATTAAAATAAAAAGAAAGATAAAAAAAAATTCAAAAATATCCTCCTTTTATTATTTTTTTTTCCCCCCTGATTACTTTAATGAATTTAAATTCGAAAATAATTTTGCGCTTATCAAATAATTGTAAAATGATTGTAAAATTTGTCGATAAGCATGTCGTAATTCGTTATTTACGTTAAAGCGTCATAACGAACGCGTAATTGTTTCTCCAAAGTAAATTTGATTATTACAGTAAAATATATATATATATGATGAGAAATATGTGAGACGTTCGAGTGTTTACAAGTTGCGTCATTTATCAGCGAAATAAAAAAAAGGAAAGAGAGAAATTCGAATGGAAAATATATAAAATGTTTAATTAAAGTTAATAAGATTGATTGAGTTTCTTTGACTTTTTTTTTCTTTTTTTCTTTTTTTTTTTTTTTTCATAAACAATGACTCTTGAAAAACTACGTACGATGATGCAAAACATTTTACAATCAATGCAAATTGATTGTGCACATTCGCTTCGAGCATGCAAAAATGATGATTATAAAATTTGTCGATAAACATGTCGAATTCGTGGATTTTAGAAAGGTGGTAGGAGTAATAATGCAACCATTTAAATAGAACTGGTTCTATATATTTCAGTCAGAGATATTTTTAAGTGTGCGACATTCAAAGAAAAAGTAAGAATTCGAGAGAAAAGAAAAGAATTCAACCATGAAGATCATTATTGTGCATTTTTTGTTTATCGTTGCAACAACAACAGCATCGAATCTACGTGAGTTGATCGTTCTTTATTTATTTATTTATTTATTTTTTTTTTTTTTTTATTCTCGTATTTTGTACTACATTTCTTTTATTTCTTTTTTCTTCTTCTTCCTTTTTTTTTCTTTTTTCTTTATGGGACGCCATATTATGCTATTTCTCTAACGTTATAATATATTTACGTAAATTAAGTACGTAATGTTATTACAGAAATTTAAAGTAATCTTGTCCTTACAACAAGAATATATATTTATATTTATATTTATATTTATATTTATATTTATATTTATATTTATATTTATATTTATATTTATATTTATATTTATATTTATATTTATATTTTATAAAAATTAAGCATCTGCAAGAGTAAATTCAATTACGATAAGATCGCAATTATTATTCAATATTGCAGCAAACAATGCAAATCGATTACGTGATTAAATAACTTAATCAGAACCTCTGAGAAATGTATGTAACAATAATAATAATAATAATAATAATAATAGTAATAATAATAATAATAATAATAATTTTTATAATACAGCGAGCAGCTTCAAAATTTGTAATAGATTTGATTCCCAATATTCCGAATGTTTGAGCAATTCTATTACCGACGCTATTGTCTCTATGGCCAACGGTAAGTAAGATTCTTTTTCAAAAATATTATTGATAATTCTATAAAAAGAGAAAGAGAGAGAGAGAGAGAGAGAGAGAGAGAGAAACAAAAGGAGAAAAAAAGATATAAATGACGCGAATCTTTTTTATTTTCCTTCTTTTTACGACCGTAAAAAATCATGATAATCGACATAATTTCAAGTATTGTATATAAAAAAAAAAAAAAAAAAAAAAAAAAAAAAAAAATTGATCTACTATATAAACGAGAAAAGGATAAAAACGCACGTACACATTTAAAATCGATTCAAGGTTTCGAATCGAGGTTTTCTTGAAATCAATTATCAATTATCGATTATTAAAAAAAAAAAAAAAAAAAAAAAAAAAAAAAAAAAAAAAAAAAAAAAGGCACTTTAAAAAAGATATTAAAAAACGTATATGAAGTATTTCTATAATACGAACGAACGAAACCTCGAATATTTAATTATTAACATATCTAATAAATTTTTATTATTAATAATATTATATATTATTAAAGATATATTAAATTTGTAAATTTTTCTTTGTAATGTAGGTTTGAAAAGTTTCAACGTATCACCATTCGAACCATTGAAAATCAACAATATAACAATCAATACATCAGAAAGTTCTCTACAGCAAGAATATAATGATATTCAAATTCACGGAATGACCAAAGATCTACAGATAAACAACGTTCAGTATGCATAAAATTTTTTATTAAATAATTATATATATATATATATATATATATATATATATATATATATATATATATCTATTTTTTTTTTCTTTCAAAATTTTTGCAATCCTTCCGTTTCTTTCTTTTTCTTTTTTTTTTTCTTTTTTCTTTTTTCCTTTTAGATTAAACTGGACAACTTTAACAATCGAAATGGACAGTTATAATCCTATATTGACTTTATTTGGAGATTACAAGATCAACGGAAAGATTACAATAATACAAATAAATGGTTCTGGAAAATATAATATAACTGTGCGTGAGTATCTCAGAATAAAACTGTTTCAACCAATTTTTTTTTTTTTTTTTTTTTTTTTTAATACTTTGTTTTTACTTTTTTTTTTTCAGTCGACATGGAAATGCATCATTCGATACAATTCGAGGAATTCGTTCAAGAAGATAATGAGATTTATCTTGGAGTGACAAAATACAATATCAAACTGCATCCAAAGAAGATTATTTACGAATTCAATAATCTTTTCAATGGTGACTCAATCCTTGGTACGTAATCAATGAATTTATAAAATCGATTAACGTTTGAAAGCGAAACAGAAAAAAAGAAAGCCAAAAAAAATGTCTGACATAACTCTTTATCTTTTTTTTTTTTTTTTTTTTTTTTTTATCACAGGAAAACAAGTCAATAAGTTCATGAACGAAAATTCTCTGGTGGTCTTCGAAGAATTTCAAATTCCTTTGGAGAAGATCTGTAGTACAATGTTAAAAAACACCTGTAATAATATTTTCATGCATTTACCAAAAAGAATCGTATTTCCATAGGATTGAATTATCTAATTTTCTCTCTTCTCTCTCTCTCTCTCTCTCTCTCTCTCTTTCTCTCCCTCTTCTTTTTTTCTCTTTCAACAATTTTAATACAATTGCATCCTTTTTAATACACAATCGCGTCTATTTTAATACTTATTCAATTTTTTTTTTTTCTTTTTTTTGATACAATTCCATCTCAATACGTCTCTTATTAAGTTCGTACGTAAGAATATTCGAAAAAAATTTGATCTTACTTGAAAAAAAGAAGATGATCGAGAATATTTTCGTCGAGACCTTTCCAATGTTGCGTTACAGGAATCATGGCCATGAACGGGACGAGAATAAACTACGATATAATTTTTCACGATGCTAAATAAAAGAGAAAAAAACAATGAGGTGGTGGAGAAAAAAAAACAAAAAACAAAATATATAGATTTACTTTTTAATTAAATAATTAATACTCGCGCGAAATATATTACATTTCGATGATAATACGTACCGATATATTCTTCAATCGTTGATAATCAATCAGATGGATATTATTTTTGAAAAATAACATTAAAATGAAAAAGAACAAATGGCGAAAACTTTTTCGAAACTTCGTTAAGCGCGCTATGTTGAAAGAACCAAAGAAAAAGAAATTTTCTAGAAGGGAAATGATCGTTGTTTTCAACGATTGTGTTTTTTTTTTTCATACAAAGATGGCGCTGATCGTCACGAGATACGTAAAGGTTATAATATCGACCAATAGAAGAGACGAATTTTCGAGATATACGTCCAATCGTTTCTGTTTATTTTGTTTTGGTGTGTTTTTCTTTCGAAACCGAAAAATGATATTTCTGATTTGATTCTATATTATATTGTTTTTATATCGTTATTAATTAATTTAACGTATTAGAAAATAGATATATAATATATATATATATATACATATATATTGAATGTAAATTTTGTTTGTTTAATTAATGCGTATGAAATATAATTTTGATAAATAATTTAGGTTAAGAAGGTTGGCTAAACTGTATCAAAATATCAACTCAATTAGAATCGTTTGTCCTATTCGTACATTTGATACTTTTCTATTATCTTCTCGTTGATTTTTTTTCTCATATCGTTAATAATTAATATAAAAAACAAACTTTTCCCCTTTTTTTTTTTTAATTTAATCAACGTGACAATAATTTCAATAAAGTAAAATTTATCACAATGGCGATGAAAAGTTCTTTGCACTGTGTCGTTGGTCATGTCAATCGTGTTTTATCCGTTAATAGTGCCGAAATAATATTCTTACTTGATAATAAATTGCAAAAAGTTTATCTAAAGAAAGAAAAATATTTTCACAATGGCAGGTTGATATCTCAAGATGAACCGTTCTACAAATACATTAAATGCGGCATGAAGGTATATTTTTCAGATTGATACAAAAGAGAAAAAAAAAAAAAAACCAAAACGAAAGATTTAATTATTCACTCAAGTATGTTACGTATTATTATTTTTTTTTTAGGTGAAAATTTCCTGTCAGATTTTAAGACAACAAAGACAACGACTTTACGAATGGATAGCACTGGCCTGTTGGCCATATGATCAAACGCTTGGATCAAGTGTATGTCTTAAAGTAGGATTACAATACATTTCAGGACGTATCTCTAATATAGACAAAGATCATGGTGTTTTGATTACCACAGATACTACAGGAGTAGAATATAAAATATATTTCTTGACGAATAATTTTTATTATCATGGCGAAAAATTAGACGTATCTCAGATTATTTTCAATGAGATAAATTCGAAAAATATCTTCTTTGATGCTATACCTTGTATTCCTGAAGAGAATGAATACAATTGTGAATGGTATGCTACTTGTGTCTTTAAAGGAAAAAGACCAATAATAAACAATATTTTATCTGAACCATCAATAAGTGACTTGAGAATTAAAGAAATTCTACAAATTATTGAAAATGTCAGTATATTATTTATGGGTGATTTATTTTTATTTATACATATATATATATATATATATATATATATCAAATAAATCTCTCACATTTGTATTTCTTTTGTTTCTTTTCAATTTCAGTCTTTCATCAATCCACAATCTGTATTTCTAATTGGCAAAGGAATATTGCTGAATACTATAAATAATGACTTTGGCCTAATTTTAGGCGAATTTCAATATAACATTTTTAAGGAAATTTTGTTCCATAAAAATAATACTTATATCTTTAAGATGTGTCTAGATAAATACGGTCTATCAGATCTATTAAAGAGAGGTAAAAGAATAATACAAAAGTATTAATTTATTAGTTATACGTATTTCTAAGTGTTAAGTTTAAAATGGGGAGAGAAAAAAAAAAAGCAATAAAAATTAATTTAATTTATCATTTATCATCTTTATAGGAGACAGAATGAAATTTATTGCCGTAGGAGCTCCACCAGGTTTTTTTGTTGAATGGATTGCTATACAAGTGTCAGTTTGCGATGCTGGAGAATATAAAACTTCAAAATACGATGCTTTTTTATCAAGTTTATGTCAATAATGACAAAAAATATAGGTTAAGAGGTATATAATAGTACAAAAAAAACCATAAGGCTGTATGTGAAATCAAAGTTCCTTTAAGACTTATTACATATACGTGTGTATATAAATATATATATATATATACATATATAACTTTATAGTCTTATATATGCATATAACTATAATACTACATTAAGCTTTATATATATATATATTTATATATACATATTATATACAACTATATTATTATTATAACACTATTACTATAACTATACTATTATATTAAGCTATATATACATTTTTATCAACAATCTGACAAGATATTATTTACTTAATTCTATAAAAGAGACCGTGAATTTTTATGACGACTATTTATTTTTAAACTTTTATATTAACTAGTTGTAATTTTTAGGATTAAGAATAAGTGACTTTTAAAGACGCGCACAATTACTTTTATTGGTTACCTGAACATTCTATGTGATATTATTGTTATTAATATACGCGTATTTATAAAGTCAAAATAATATAGTTTTGTTTGTGCATATTTTATAATTATTATTATTATTATTTTATCTATATATATATATATGTGTATAATATTATCTGATAATTACACACACACACACACCACCACCATCATTCTTATTGAAATTATTGAAATAACATTATTAATAAATTTCTTATTGCGTCGTTTGTATTTTCAATTCTATCTTAATGATCATATTTATCATCTATGACAAAAGTAATAATTCTAAATAAAGTATGATATAAAATGACAAATAGATCTCAATGATTAAGAATCATAATCGATCGTTTATATCGATCCATAATTTTTACCGGACGACTTAATTTATGATTTACGTCAGCACTTAAAGGGGAGGGAAGGGGAAAAGAAAAAAAAAAGAAAAAAGAAAGAAAAAAAAAAAAGGAGAAGTGGTCTCGATCATTTCCTAATAACGATCGAAGTCCGGTGATGGGAGTCAGGGATTCCGTATGGGATACGGGCACGCGCGCTCGTTAAATTATTCATGCTCGTTTTACGGAGTAAACGTGCAAGGAAGCAAACGGCAAGCAAGCGGCAAGCAAGCAAGCACAAGCAAATAAGCAAACTAACTAACCGAAGGCTCGATTACATATGTAGTTAGACGATGATGCAAATGACACGATGCTAAATAATTCCTTCTATATCCATGATAATCTCGCTTGATGATTTCGCAACGTAGAAGCGGAAGGTCGCGAGAATAAATCATTGTTCGTTCCTTGAACGACAGACAGAGGATGTATGTATATATATATATATATATGTGTGTGTGTGTGTGTGTGTGTGTGTGTAAAATGTGCAACGTTATTCTCTATCTCTGTCTTCTTTCAATTCGTTCCCTTCCTTCGTTCTGGCAAGGTTGACTCCGTTCCAAACAAGTAGATACATACATACGTTCGACTATTACCAGCTAGGATTTGTCTCTTTCGCAAGGCCGATCTCTACAAGTTAAAAGCTACTTGTCTACTATTTAACGTTTAATGACGCTCGTAAAAGATACGATTCAAAAAAAAGAAAAGAAAAGTCAATCTTTTGAAATAATTTCATTTCATGTTCCTATTGTACTTTCCAAACGACAAATTTGTTTTTTTCATATTTTAATGATCCATAAAGGATCGATCGGTCTTTTAACGATCGATATTACAAAATATATGTGTATATCATTAATATGCAATTCCGCGTTTAGATTGGATATATTATCACAATTATATCTCGATCGTGAAATAAAACTTATTGTTATAATACGTATACCCGGAACAAAAGAGCTTTCCTTCTCCTCCCTCCTCCCTCCTATTCCCCTTCCCTTCGTTAAATTTTTTTGCGATTTTGATCTCTTAGCTATCGCACCGTCGGCGATTCTCCGCGCTTTGCTGAACGAGAAAATCCAAGTTGGGCGGGGGTGAAGAGATGACGGTGGTGGAGGAGGAGGAGGAGGAAGAGGGCACCTTTCTCCAAGTGTGCGGCCTCGTCGAAGGAAGAACTTGTCGGAACGAAGATCTCCCGGAGAAGACGGCTGTTGTTGCCCGGAGGAACGGCCGATCGAATGTGGAGCAACGAACTTGGAACTTCCAGGAAAGAGCAGAAAATAATCCTGATCCGAATGTAATCCCCGTTTGAAAATCCATTAACTGTTCGTTTCTCAAAATAAAAAAAAAAAAAGAAAAGAAAAGAAAAGAAAAGAAAAGAAAAGTAAATATCTAATTTCATTCATCGCTTTATTAAAAATGTACCGACAGATCGATCAAAAACTCTATCATTTATGATTGACAAAAAATACTTGCGAAACTATTATATTTTCCTATGACAATGATTAATTGCATCAATTCATTCTATATATTCCATGTATGTATATGTTTGTATGTGCGTGCGTGTATGTATATCGGAACAGAAAAAAAAAAAATAATCTTCGATATATTTAATCGAGGAAGTACCTAAAAACCTATTTAAATGATGGCAATACATATGTACGTATACGTGTATATGTACATATATATTTAACAGATGGAACAGATCGATTGATTACAGAAAAAAAGAAGAAGGAAAGAAAGAAGAGAAAAAAAATTGCCTCCGGTATATTTGATAATGAAATATCTAAGAATCTATTTTTTATATGACAATAATCATTAACTCGAGCTATATATATATATATATATATATATATATATATATGCATTAAGAACGATCGATCATCGTCTCGATGACATTGAAAAAAAAAGTCGAATGGCAGGAACAAGTGCAAGGTTATTATCGAAGAGAAAGAAACGACGACAACGATGCAATTGCAACAGCAACAACAATAACAGCAGCAGCATCAGCAGCAGCAACAACAGGATCAGCAGCAGCAGCAGCAGCAACAGCATCAGCAGCAGCAGCAGCAGCAACAGCAGCAGCAGCAGGAGCAGCAGCAGCAGCAGCAATAGCAGTAAGAAGAAGGATGCAGGATATTACGAGGAACGACGTGACGAGGATCGAAGTTGGCGATCCATGGAGTCGTTCCGATATTACCAACAGTTTTGCGGCATCAAGGCCGCCTCCTTAGCCGAGATCTTGTCTCATGATGACT